CCAAAGTCTGACAATAGGACATCAACTTGATTTGTGTCCTCCTTTTGACTCATCATATTTAATGCCATGATCGGGTTGAGAAGTCCGTACAGCAGCAGTAGGTTCATCTTGTCGTCAGCAATAGGAAATGGTTCTGGCGCTGACTTTCGCTCACGAATAGCTTTATCAATACTTCCTTGGAACCAGTCTTCGAGTTGGTCCCATTTCTCTAGCAAGCAGCGAACGACCTTAGCGAAACCCAAGAATCTGTGCTCTTTGTGTTCAATCAGCTGTATGGTAGCACCAGCGTTTGCCATTTCGCAAAGCTCTGAAAACAGGCTCTCCATTGAAGCATTGGAACGGACAGCGAATGTTGTACTGGCGATACGAGAGACCAGATCTGTGGCTGGAAAGTTCTTTGAGGCCTTGCGCTGCAAAGCGATGCCAAACGCGGTGTTAGTCGCAGCGTTCGTGAGATAGGGCATACACCACTCCCATTGGAGGCCAATTCCCTTCGTCATCATCCATTTGACGTCAGGGCCGGAGTCACTAGTTGAGCCATAAAAAGCATTGGTTGATAGCCAGATATCTCTTAGTATCTCTGTGGTCCATCGTTTAAACGATGCACGGCTCCCGTTGCTTCTTCCACCATACATCGGTTCATAATGGCGAGTGCCAAGAAGGATCGACAGGAATTACCAGTTATTGTCGACAAAGTAGACCCTCAGACCAAGATATTGGGTTGCCCTCTGCGTCTTAGAAGACCTAAATCGCACACCATTGAAAACGACGCCATGTTGTTGACTCTGCTGCGTTCAAGATGAGACCGAATAGCCTGTCGAGCACTTGAATAAAGCTCTGCAATAGCTCGCGTTACGGTGTGATTGTTGATAGTCGCTCGAAATTCGTCTGGGACTACCAAGTCGGCAAGCAACTCCGATTCGTCGTATTCCCCGGTCCGAAACGGGAGATTATTGTTCCCTACGCGCATCGTTTCAAGCAACAACGTCATTCGTCTGCTATCTGTCCCACCAGCAATAGCACATCGTATGCGCTCTAGCTCCTCAGCTCGTTCGCGTTCCCTCGTGATTTCTGCTGTGATCTTGCCTGCTGCCAGCAAGTGTTTTTCGCCAAGGTGCTTGGTAGCTTTAGACGTATTACCAAACAGCTGAATTATTTTGTTTTTGCGACGGCATTCGAGACTACCTTGACGTATCCAGCACACGTATTCCTTGCCTTCAAGCGTGGAAGTAACGCGTACCCCCTAGTCAAGAATTATCGATCGTTCTCCACGGCGTTTTGGCAGTACCGTAAATCCATCAGCTGGTACATAGTCTCGGATTGCTTGTGTAACATGCATCGGTACAGGTACAGATGAAGTTGAATTAAAAATAATACCAGTTGAAACTGGTGGTCGAAGGTCAGGCATTGGAGATTGTTGAGCCATCTCAACAATTGTAGACTCCGCAATTGCTGTAGATGAGTCCGGCTCCAGTCTCTGTGCTTCAAGACCTTGGTTCTGACAATTACCATTAGCACCCACCTCAGCGCCTTCATCCCGAGGGCGTTGCCTCCCTTCTTGGGAGCGGTGTAGTCGAAGTAGGCGCTGAATTGTTGCAGCGGTGACTCAAACAACAGGCGATTGTTGGTCGAAGCGAATCTTGTAGTATTCTGCCTACAAGTCAGCGCTAAGGTTCAGCGGAAGTGTTGCTGAGCAGTGAAATTCCAGAGTGAACAAAGTGTGGCAAGCTGATCGTTTAGGAAAAGACGCGACCTTCCACGAAACGACACGAACAATATGTAACCAATAGATGATATTGCAGTTAAAAGTTGAGAGCGTAACTCCAAACCTGAAACTCCAAACCTGAGTGCTGGTTTGAATTCAGGATGGGTTTCACAACCGATTCACAAAAGCCGATCATATAGGTTAAAAAAAACTGATGGCTAACGGCCAAACCATAATTTCGCTAGTCCAAAGGTTTGGTTTGTTCAAGGGGTGATGAAACGAGCCAGAAACGAAACGTATGTTGGGAAGGTTTAGAAAAAAAAACAATGATGATCAAGCACGTTCCGAGTGAGCTGCTCAAATCGGTTTACCGGCTCATATGTCTCAGGCTCGTTCAATCCGTTCTGTAACCTTTCCATTACCATCCGTGGTTACGGTGTTATTTTTGACCCGCTCTGGTACGATTCTCAGTTTGCGCCTTATCTCGCAGCACCTTGCCATTTTCAGTGTCAGGATGTGAACGAAGAATCTCCCTCACTAAGTAGCGTATCTTGCATCTCCTGGGTGATGATTCGCATCCGGTTACCGACTAAATCAAGGATCGTCTTCTGAGTTTGAGTTGTGGCTGGTGAGACGATAGTCTCTTCCAAGTTGTAGCAGTTTCGGACCACACTTCTGTACTTTAGGTATGTCTGAGTCGGCGAGATGACAGTCCAGTTGTAGTCTTGCAACACGAGACCGGCACTGGGAGACAGATCCGTTGACCATGCGGCAGATTCACCGATGAAGGGAAACCATCCAACCTGGTATCACACTACAAATATTACTGCTAATCGTTGTTCATTAGTGCCCGGTACGTGAGTATAGCGATAACAAACTTTGAACTTCG